CTTAATTAGTCTAAGAGATATATCCAACCCCTGAAAGTACGGTGATGGCTAATTTTGTGCAGATATCATGTTCTCTCAATTGTATAGTTTAAGTGACTTCATTTCTATTCGAAGAGCCTTTAAAATTAGTTTTATATGGTCTATATTCAAATTCATATTGATGAATTTAAGTTTAATTATCTTAATAATAGTATTAGTTAATATTTAATTATTTACAAATTACATTAATAAGAATTTAATTAAATTAATATCAACTAAATTAAAAATCTTAATTAAAAATCAAAATTAATAATTTAAATTTGTGTGTTGTTAAATAAATAATTCTTTCGATGAAGTAACAATTAAATTATTTACAAATTGCACATGCAAGCAATTTAATATAGTATTAGATATGGCATTTGTTGTAGAGTCCCTTTGAGTCCTCGCATGCAACCATTTGAATTTGCACATGTTCTCACACGCTCTCCAGGCTATTTGCTGTATCTTTCTTTGAATTCGCACCCCAGCCCCCCACCCCCTTTTTTTTAATAGGCATAAGTATGCTTAATTGGTACTTAATCGATTTCCCCCACGCATACCCATTTTTCTTTTTTTAAAAAGGCATAAGTATGCTTAATTGAATCCGCACCGCATACCTTTTTTTTTTTTTTTTTTTATAGGCATAAGTATGCGTAATTGGCACTTAATCAATTCCTTCTTTCCAAAACTAACTAATTTTAATTGAATCACATTTCCGGATGATTATTTTTTTTCTTTTAGTAATTGGATGTCAACTTGCATTATCATTGTAAATTTGTGAATCTAACTTAGTAAGGATTGGAGATTTGAATCTAAAATTTGCTAGTGCCAGCTAGTTATAATTTACTTCTATCACTAAATTAAGATTCTATTGGCTCAATTTGAATTATATTATTATTATTTTTTTATCTTACTTACACAATTAGAAGCAATTATCTTTTAACCTTATCTTACTCCACCCGCATGTCATGCGACTTGAATTCAGGAATTCTTACTTCCAACGAAAAGAGATGACCACTGAGTTATTTCAATTGTTGACTGAATGCTATTATTTTTATTTTTTTGAATTGTGTATATCTCAAAATTAATCTCATTAGATAGTTTTAACAAGTGAGGTTAGTTTTACATCTTCAATAATTAATGTTACACTTTTTTAATCAACAAATTTAAATTTATTATTAATTTGAAGTACAAGAAGTTCTAATTATTATACCCTTACATTATATTTTTTTTTCAAAACTTTACATTTTTTTTAATTTCATAAATGAATTTAAAGGGTATAATGATAAGCAAAGATAAAAAAAATGTGATATTAATAATTGAAGGTGTAGCAATAACACCATTCAATTTTAATAATGCACTCCACATTAATATGATATATTTAAAGTAAACTCTAAACCCTATCCATACACTTACTCAAGGGCATATATATATGGTTTATAAAGGTCATAAAGTGTTTTTACCCGAAAGCCATGCCACTTTACCTTGGTGTAGGGTATTATGAGTACTCCTGGCAATGGCATGAAAACCAAAAAAAATGATAACAGGTTATAGTGTCATCTGTTACATTAGATAAATATAGATATAACCAGTTATCTTTTTCTTATAATTGACTAAATTATCTAGGAACGTAATTTTGCACCTTTATTAGGAAGGTGTTTTCAAGCTTTGTAACCACTTATTATACAGCTATACAACCAATTAACATCTTTTCATCCCGAATATATATTTATTTCCTGAATGAAGCTATTTTGTAAATGGTTCGACTTCTCCATGTTGAATAGTTTGAAATTGTGAAAATCATACATATGGAGAGAATAGAAAAATAAATGGACTTATATACGTATACTCTTTGTTAATAAATAATTATGAAATGTTGGATGCATAGTCTGTAAACATTTTGATCTGTAAGAAGAAAATTTATATTTTAATTAATTTAAAAGTTTTTAATTTAATTTTTTTAATTCAAAATTAAAAGGGCATGTCTAAAATTTGGGTATGACTTTTAACAGCCAAAAGCACCTATTCAAAATGGTGCCTTTTTGTAAGGATATCTCTCTTTTTTTTTTTTTTGGCACTAAACTTCTTAGTAAATGGATGGCAAAACTATATTGAATTCTAATTAATTTAAAGTTGAGTCGCATAAAATTCTATAAAAGGAGAAGGTTTCTCCGTGTTAATCTCTTTATTCATAAAACTTAAATTTGATATTTTATTTACTTAAATGAAATCAAATTCTTTTCATTTAAATCAATAAATTGTTAACATGACATGTCTTTTTAGCTAGTGCTTTCCGTATGGAAATATTTCTTTAGTTAATGTCTGTTTAACCAATATAAATTTTATTATAGAGTTCAAATTCTATATTTATTTCTAAGATAGTTTTTAA